GTTTGTATTTGTCAAAACGTGTGTCAACGTGTCAGTGACAGTCATTTACCCTCATCTAAAATGTTTTTACTACTCTTTGTACTTATGCAGCACATCTTTCTTCGTTTGAAGAGTTGAAATCTGTCGGCATTGTCGGACAACCAAAATTATTATGCATCCTGCGCAGTTGGTCGTATTTAGAAAATGTTAACCAGACGTGAAAAATGCTAGCAACTGCACTTTTCGACCCTTTTAGACCTTGGAGCCTAAAACACCATTGCATCATTACTGCGGATCACCATAGTTTGAAAAGCACAGCCACCTAAATCGAAAAGTTTGTAAACACAATACATGGCATCGACATCGCAAAGCCACAAAAAATAAGTCTGCAAGAAATGGCCATTTGAAAACCGATGGTCGTTTCCTCCTCTATCATCGTTTATGACACTTCGTTTCATATTTTTAACTCTGTGGGCTATCACAACATCTAACCGTTTGTTCAACGGCATTTAGCGAAAAGAGTTATAACATGAAGTTATGGAAAGTTGCTTCGAGCAGGCTTTAAACGGCCAATGACTAAAGGTCAGATGCAATGATCAAAAACTGATGAAACAGAAGAAGGTTTGGTGTCGAAGCTATGTACTTCTTAACAGCTTTTGTTCGTGATTTTTATGCAACTGTCAAAAATATCGGCATGTGCTTAAATCTAATAACTGGATTTAAGATCTTAGGACTGTGATCAGTAAACAGCAGGCTTTTCAGACATTGTAATCATTGACGTGAATCGCGTGATCCACCACAGCTGACCATGGAATCACTAATACGAAGGTTCGACAGCGGTTCACTTCGAATTATTTTGTGCTGTTAAAGATGGAGCCTGCAGAAATATTAAAAACTTGCTCGGTTAGTTTATAATGAAACTACCTTATTAGTCAGGCAACGTTTGAGTTATTGCCTTAAATGAATCCCAGTAACGTGTTCAAACTGTCACGAACAAAATTCCATTCCTCTAAAGTGCAAAAGGCTCTGATTCAGTGCGCTGACAATTTTTCCCATATGGACTGAAAGAACACTTAAAACATGTCGGCAATCTCGAACTTAATTTTTCACCCACTGAGTCTGATTTCTCCTTCGCATTTAAACCGGCGAAAGCGAGTTAGACTGCTGTCATACTCCAAGTGCAACACGAGAGTTTATCAAACACAAGATAATGTGAAAGCAGTGTTTCGGTTCATTTCACCGACCATTTAATGATATATTTGTCACCATTTGTGCTGGTAATCGTTCATTGCAGTTGTTATAATTACAGAAGACAAAAGTTTAGCTTCTGATGATTATCAACAATAGTTACATCTAATGTTATTATGAAGAAATTATGAGGCACAAGCCAAAGTGCTAATTTGGGTCTTTTATTGCACGAAATTAATGAACTACTTTCTAATTAATAAACTGGCCTAGTTTGTACTCGGAATTATATGGCTTGAAATTCAAAAAGCGTAATTTCTGTACACAGCCGTGAATGTTATGCAATCAAAATTAAACAGAGAGCTTCAAACATAGTTTCAACGTTGCAGCAAAAATTAATTCAAGACGAAAGTCGAGTCACAGTGTGCACTGGATAAACCATGAATAAAAGGAACACTGAACTACAGATGTACCAGTTTAACATGTAAGCGCTTATTTGCTTATAGAGATGTTTCTTTTTAAGATGATCTTTGGGACTGAATCTAATATTGGATAGTCGGCTGTCGGGTGGGTCAAGGCGAAGTGCAAGGGGCGTTTGCATCGGGAAGCATGAGCATGCACCTCGTTCATTCCGGTATGGCAACACCAAAATGACATGCTGTCCCTGTTATTCGCAACTCAGCGACTTGCTAAGCGTTTTCTGTTTGTGGTTGCGACGAAACAACATGAGGCAAATTTCTTTTCAAGGTCATTCGTGGTTAAGACAAATATTATTCCTTCTATGAATTTGAACAAGAAACCTCTGAAGTCCTAAGCCGACACCTTTGCCAATCTGCCACCAGGCCCCCAACGGTCAGTTAAAGTA